TTTAAAAGTCTCTCATATACTAGTATAATTTAACTGTTAGAGATCAGAAAGTTTAAAGAAATATTCTGTCTGCATAATTTTGGATGTGCAACTAAAGCCTTACAAACAAAATAATCATGAATGATGAAATTATAATTATCATAGAAAGGCAGCTGCCTATTTGGATAGACTTACACATTTTATAGAACTCAATGTTAACACTGGCCAATTTTTTCCCTGTTGGTTCTTCTCTGAATTTCAATGAATTTTTCATCAGCATATTAATTAGTGCAAATCTTGGATTGCACTTTGTAATTAAGATCTTATGTGTTCCTCTAGATCTTACATTTGAGTTAAATGTTAATTTTTCAAAGAGAAAAATTAGGAATTTGACAACGGCCTTCCTTCCTGGCAATAGACTATACATGCTGCCTGTCAAAAAAGATGGAATGCCTGAGTTTCTAAGATAGGGAGTGATAGATTATTCATCATGAAATTGCAAACTCATTTGCCCAATATCATAATCAATTGCTGACGGCAGTTTCTCTGGAAACCCATTTGTGAAATGCATTTGGGAGTCTAGTCACTGAATGTTAACTCAAATTCCTTGACTTGCCATTAGTCTTTGTAACTTTTCCTAAGTCCATGTCCTGATTTGCTCTAATTTCTATCAATTTTAAAGTCACCAGAATGAAGTTATGTAGTGTAAGTTCATTTTTCCATAGTAATAATAATAGTTCTTACCACATGCTCTTGAGAGGCAATTCTCCATGGATCTCTCGTATTTCTGCACATCTTATGAGCAGGAGCACTGACTTTTTGTTGTGGGTTATCTTTTCAAAGATGCTTATCAGCAAACAGCCTTAGAAGACAGAGATAGTATCTTCTCCTGGAGCAAAGAGCAGGCATGCTTACTGCCCATTATAAAAGATTTGGGTTCCCTAAGCTCAGGGTTCCCCTCCTATAATGCAGCCCACCATATGTGATGGTGATGCCTTTGTGTCACTCCATGGGAACTGAGCTCAGGGAACTGGCACAAATACTGATGCTACTGCTGTAGCTGTTTCTGTGAAAAATAAAGTCCTTTGCCTCTGACCAGCGGTCTTGTGTCACCCACCAGCTTCTATGAAAGGTGGCAGGCTAACTTGTGAACTTGCAAGTAGGGTAAAAATTCCAGAGCTTTCACAGTCCTTGACACATGCCGGGCACTGTTGTGTGTGTGTGTGTGTGTGTGTGTGTGTGTGTGTGTTCTTATAACAACTTTATGAGGTATTATCATCATTTTACAGATGAGGAAACTGAGGCACAGAGACATTATTCAAGTAGGTGGCAAGGCCAGGATTTGAACCAGGCAGTTTGATTCTGTTGTCTGTGCTCTGCTTCATTTCTCCTCTCTTGAGCACATGATCCCAGAGCTTGCCTTAGCTACTGAATTGCAATTTCAAAAGGGAGTGCTGGCCTATACCTCTTAGAACAAATTGATCAGATATTGGTGTTAATGATGCTCCTTCAAAAGTTCCAAGAAGTTTCTGTGCATTCACCTTGCAAATATTTATAGAGCAAGAAACATCCTAGTTGTTGCCTGTGGTGTGGTCTATGCTTTTGGTGCCTATGAGGGGACTGGCCTGGGAGTAGCCAGTAGGTATTCTTGTTCCTTCTTGTAGCTTCCACTGGGCAATTCATTTAGGATAGTCCTAAATTGGATTGCCCTACTCCACTCTCGGGGAGCAGCTACTCCTTATCTTCTGCTTTCTAATACCACTATTAATAATAACACTAAATAATAACGATACCACCATCATTCAGCAAATACGTGTCATGTGCCTAGTTTGTACCTGGTGTTATTATAGGCACTTGGGATGTACCAGTCAATTCAACTAAGACCTTGCCTCATCTAGCTGGGGAGACAAGCAATGAGTGAACAGACAAATATATAATACCAGGTACGGTTCCATGAAGAAAATCAAAGCAGTCGGGGGATAGGGAGTGATTAGGGGGCTACTTTAGATAGAACGGCAGGTGGGGCTCTCTGAAAGAGGGGACATTTGAGCAAAGACTTTAGGGCATGATCGAGATATGCTGAGTGCCAACTGTTTGCACTGTTGTAGGGCTTAGGGATACTTCAGTTAGCAAAAGAAAAGCATTCTAATTAGGCAAAGCAGGCAATAGAAAGCAGATAAATAAAACCCTGAGTATGGCCACAGTGGGAAGTGCAAGAAAGCAGGGAAGGGGGCAAGAAGCCCTGGGGGAGGGGGCAAGGGTGGTTCAAATACGAACTGGGGAGATCAATGAAGGTCTCACTGAGGAGGTGACATTGAGCAAAGTCCTGAAGGAAGGGAGGGAATGAGCCACAAGGCCAACTACGATAAGAGTGTTGCTGGTAGAGGAATATGTTTGGTGAATAGCATTGAGGTCAGGGTGGCTGGAGCAGAGGGAACTGAGGGAGAGGTAAGTGTCAGGCCAGATTGTGCATGACCTCATGGTCATAGTTAAGGATTTTGGCTTCCACTTTGGGTGAGATGGAAGGTGACCAGGGGGTTCTGAACAGAGACATGTCATTATCTGACTTATAAAATAGTAACCATAATCCTCGTGGCAGCTGTCATTTGTTAATGATACTATGTGCTGGTCACTTGGATGTTATCTCAGGGAATCCTCGATAAGGTGTTCTTAGGGAGGCATTACTATTATTTCCATGGTACACACTATGATTTGAATGTTCGTCTCCTCTAAGCTTATGTTGAAACCGAATCCCCAGCATGGCAATATTGAGAGGTGGAGCCTTGAGGTGACTGGGTCACGAGAGCTTGGGCCTCATGAATGGATTAATTTATTTATGGGTTAATGGATTAATGGGTTATCCTGGGAGTGGGATGGTGGCTTTATAAGAAGAGGAAGAGGGACCTGAACTAGCACACTCAGCCCCCTGACTGTGTGCTGCTGTGCACCATCATGGAACTCTGCAGAGAGTTCCCAGCAGCAAGGACGCCCTCAGAAAATGTGGCCCCTTGACCTTTGACTTCTCAGCCTTCATAAATGTAAGAATAAATTCCTTCTATTTATAAATCACCCAGTTTCAGGTATTCTGTTATAAGCAACAGAAAATGGACTAAGACAGTACAGATGAGATAACTGAGGCAAAGAATAATTGAGGAAATTTCCCCAAAGTTGCACCATTTCTCCACACAGGATTCTTATTCCTTAACCCCAGTTGGGCTCTCAACACAGCTCCGTGATCCTTTGGCCCCTTGAACGCCATCCTCTCCATGCCTCCATCTCCACAGAGAAACGCCATCCCCACCCTAGCTTCTCCTTGGCCTCGTGGTCCAGCTCTACACTTGTAAATATTTGTACGCGGCTGGTCTTTAGCACCTAGGCTCCCCTTCCTTCTCTGAGAGCCTCACCCTCCCTACCTATCCCCTCCACTTCCGCCACAGTCTGGGTTCAGCAGGCACCACATGGCTGCCCGGCTCAGCCATGTTTTTCAGTCACGTGTCTAGGTTTGCACCAATGGAATGGGAGGGGAAGGGTTGTGTGAATATCTAATTCCTGCCCTATTTTTTTCCTTTTTTCACAGCCACATTGCTAAAGAACAATCCCCACTTCCTTGCCTTCTGTGCATTCCCAGGCTGCAGTCTGGCCCCCTCGTTCCTCATCCTACTGAAAGGAGCCCTGCTGAGTCCACCATTGATCTGCTGGTAACTAGGTATCAGGCATGTGCACAGACTTTTTCCATTTGAACTTCTCCAAGGCTGGCTGACTTCCACCCCCTTGGACTTCTGTCCACCCAGCACCCAGTCAACCATTCTGATGGCTCTTTCTCAGTCTCTTAGGTCCCCCAGCCCCCAAAATTGGTACTTTTTTTCTGAGGCAGAGTCTCACTGTGTCACTCAGGCTGGAGTGCAGTAACACAATCTTGGCTCACTGCAACCTTCACTTCCTGGGTTCAAGTGATTCTCCTGCCTCAGTCTCCCAAGTAGCTGGGATTACAGGCACGTGCCACTACACCTAGCTAATTTTTGTATTTTTAGTAGAGACAGGGTTTCACCATGTTGGCCAGGCTGGTCTCGAACTCCTGAGATCATGTGATTGCCTGCCTGGGCCTCCCAAAGTGCTAGGATTACAGGTGTGAGCCACCGCACCTGGCCAAAACTGGTACATTTGAAGTTCTGTTCCTGACCATCTTCCTATTCTGCCAGCATCATCCCGTTACTTCATGGACTCATGTACATTTAACGTTGTATTTTTAGCCCCAATGTACCTCCTACATTTTAGTCTTTCTAACTGTCTATGTGACATTCCACTTGGATACCCCACAGATGTCTGGACTCTCATGACCCAATCTGAGTCAATCCTCCCCAAACTCACCTCCCCACAGTGATTCCAGTTCATCCTCTGCCCTCCCTCCTTTCCACCATCCCTGTCTGATTACTCAGTTCCATAGATTCCACCTCCCCCAAAGAGTGCCATACCCGCTCCCTGTTCTCATTGCCAGGGCCTTGCTTGATTTTATCAGTCACTCCTGCCTGGACTACTACAGTGACCTACTTACAAGTCTTCTTATTTCTTGCTTGGTGGTTCTCACAAAGATCACTTTGGAAGCTTCTTGAAAGTGTCGATTCTCAGGCTCTATCTCCAGAGAGTCTGATTCGGTAAGACCAAGGTACAGTCCAGGCATGTGGGTTTTTAATAAGCTCACCACTGGAATCATCTAGTGCAGATGGTCCCCAGACTGCTCTCTAAAAACCACATCACTTGCCCTCTCCTTATTCCAGTCCATTAACTACATGATTAATTACTAAAGCTATTACTACCTAACATTTTTGAAACACTTACTATATCCCAAGGCTGTGTTGAACTCTCTATATGCCTGTGGGCCACTAACATAATAACTCTATGTTTTCACTATGATTATGATTCCATTTTACCTTTGGGAAAACTGAGGCACAGAGAGCTAAGTTAACTAGCCCAAGGGCACATTCTCTCTGACCCAAAGCCAAGTTCTTATGAGTATATCTTACCATCTCCTTTGCTCCCCATGGTCCAGCTATGCCGAATGTCTTTAGTTCTCTGAATGACTTTAGTTCTCTGCTTCTTTATGGCTCTGAGCATTTGTCATGTGGTTCCCCTCTTTGAAATGACCATCTGTATCAGTTTCCTGTGACTTCATAACAAATTGCAAATATAGCAGCTTAAGACACCCACTTATTAGCTCATAGTTCTGGAGGTCAGAAGCCTGACTGCAGCATGACTGGGTCCTCTATTCAGGGTCCTACAGAGATAAAATCAAGGTGTCAGCTGGGAGTAGGTCTCATACAGCTTGGGGGTCCCTTCCAAACTCCCTGCTTGTTGTCAGAGTTCAGTGCTCTTGCAGTGGTAGGACTGAAGTCCAGTTTCTCTGCTGGCTGTCAGGCAGGGGTTTGGCATCAGCCTGCATTCCTTGTCACGTGGCCCCTTTCATCTCTAAAGCCAGCAAAGAAAATCTTGACAATGATGAGTTCTTGCCACTTGTCAAATCTCTTCTGCCAGGACAATCCAGTCCCTTTCAAAGGTTCACCTGGCTAGGTTAGACCCACCCCGGATCATTTCCAGATCTCAAGATCAATTAATTTGGGAACTTTAATTCCATCTGCAAATTCTCTTCACAGAGCCCCTAAATTGTTTGATTGAATAACTGGGCAAAGGTGTGTGTACCCTGCAAGGGGGATGGGCTGAGAATCTTCAGGGGTCATCTTAGAATTCTGCCTAATCTTCAAAACTCAGCTCAAGGGTGATTGTCTTTCTTAATGACTCTAGGCCGAGCTAGGTCCACCCCCTGTGCCCCATAGCGTCCAATGCACACTCTTTTATTGGTCCATTTTCCCCCAGCTGGGCTGTGAGATTCTTGAGATCAGAAACCAAGCCTTGGTCATCTTTGCGTGCCCAGCTCCCGGAATAGCACCCGACTCTATATTTGCTGCCTGAGAGCTCAGGATGTGCTCAAGCAAGCTCTGCAGACGCGAAGGGCATTTTCATTAGAATTGCATGCATCGCAGGTGCAGGGCTGTTGACAGGGGACAGCAAGTGCTTCCGGGAGGTCCCAGGAAACGTCATCGGCACCCTAGGCTCCAAATTCTTTTAGCAGAGAACCATGGGCAGGCAAGTTACACCTTCTGAAAAGTCCAGTGAAACCAGCATCGCCGTGACGGTGAGGCGGATGGGCCACTAGGTGTCACTCAAGATTCAATAAAGAGAAACGCGGGTGCTTCGAAAGCCGTTTCCGCCCTTCTAGGGAAGGGAGCTGGTTAGACCGTCCCCACCCATTGTTTTCTGGTTCACGCTCCAAGCCTTCCGCGGCTCTTCACTTCCCTTCGGGAACAAGTCTGGGTCTAAAATAGGACCACAGAAATCGAAGCTATAAGGCTGGGGGCCACCCGACCGTCTAATTCAGCCTCCGGATTTTGTGGACCAGCAACCAGAGCCGGGGGCTTGCGCAGGGCGGGGAGCAGAGCCCCGCTTCAGCCCCCACGGGGTCCGCACGCTCCTCCCTACCCTCGAGCAGCAGTGAGGAGGCGCGGGCGGGTCCTGGCTCTCGGCCTGGGTGTCCAGAGTGTCCTAGGTCGTCCCGGGGGCTGCACCGCGAGGTGTCCCTCAAGCCCACTTCCAGATGCCCAGGCCGCATTCAGCTGATCCAGCGCCCGTGCTCCAGAACCCAAGGCGAGGAAGGTGAAAAAGAAGGTCCCGTTGATCTGTTAGGACCTGACCTTTCTTCAGATCGTCTCAAACAATCTCTTCTTTCTTTGGATTTTAGGGCTGGGGAGTGGGGACGCACCTGGCTTCCTGACAGCATCTGCAATTAACCACAGTCCTTTTCCTTGTGCCACGGGGAGGTTCGGGGCTGAAGGGAGGGGGTCGCAAAATGCTTATGCAAAGCACTGTCTTGGAGGGAGTTTGGTTTTTCTGCCCCCATCCGCCTACTTTCCCCCTGGAAGAAGTGGATGTCCACGCGCGAGGTTCGAACAGGCTGCAGGACCAACGCACCGCGCGTGCGGACTGATCTTCCTCGCCCCCGGCAGAGGGCGCCCTTCCCCCGCGCCAGCGCCCGGCCGGGCGCGCCCCTCCAGCCGCGCCCCGAGCCCTGCCTTGTCCCGGCCAGGCTTCCAGCGCCAGGTGCCTGCAGCCCTACACTGGGAGAATTACAAAGCTACTTCTGTCTGATCCCGGGCACAGCCTTTGAATGTCTCGTTCGTTTTGCTCCTAACTGACTTACTGCTCATTTTTATTTTCCTAAGTGAATTTTGAAACTTATTTGCATTTTGTGGAGCTCCTGGTAACAGAGAGAGCTTACCTGGCAAGGTGAGAATCCCGCTAAGGAAGTTGACTTAGGACGGAGGTTCTCGCCAGGGCTCACCCACAAAGTGAATAATCCTATCTATTAGACAAATAATTTCCTTTAAAGCTTGCAAAGGGGGGCAGGCGCGGTGGCTCACGCCTGTAATCCCAACACTTTGGGAGGCTGAGGCCGGCGGATCACTTGAGGTCAGGAATTCGAGACCAGCCTGGCCAACACGGTGAAAACCGGTCTCTACTAAAAATACAAAAATTAGCTGGGCGTGGTGGCTCGCGCCTGTAATCCCAGCTACTCGGAGGCCTAAACAAGAGAATCGCTTGAACCTGGGAAGCAGAACTTGCAGTGAGCCAAGATCGTGCCACTGCACTCCAGCCTGGGCCACAGAACCAGACTCTGTCTCAAAAAACAAACAAACAAAGAGGTTTTCCTGTGTCAAGCTTAACTGATTCTATTTATTTCTTTCCTCTTCATGAAAAGATTGATTCATTCATTTATTTCTCAACCGATATTTTACTGAGTACCTTCTGTGTGCCAGGTACCAGGGTGAAAAAGGCAGAGTTGGTTCCTGGTTTGGGTGGAGCTGATGGTCTAATAAGGGAAGATATATTGAATAAACACGTTAATTGGTCATCCCTAAGATAAACGCTACACAGGAAACACAGACTTCTGGCAGAGGCTGCGACGGGGAACCAGCTGAAGTGCTCAGCTCAATCTCAGGCATCCTTTTCCTCCCAGAAGCTCTCTTCTCACTTCCTGCTGCTGCAAACTGATAAAAATCATAGCCTCCCAGAAGCGGATGGTGAGTCAGTGCATTCAAGGCTGCACATCCCCAGGTAAAGTAACAAGAGTCAGGGTCTGGCTGAAATCTCCTCTCCCCGCTCACACTCCTGGGCTGAGTGCCACTCGGCAAGGCGTGAGCCATTTTGCATGATGAAATCCACATTACAGATTTCTTCTGAGGCCTGATGACTAACAAGGTCTGAAGACAACAAGACACCTCTGGGCGCTGCATCCTCCTCCTCCTCTTCAGTGTTTATGGAACACCTCCTAGGTATCGGGTGGGTGTTCGGTGCCAAGGATGCAAGCAAAACATTAGAGACAAAAGGAGGAATAGAATATGCCAAAGGCCAAGGAGGGCACGAACTAGTGGTTCCCAGAGTTTGAGATTTTATGAGCAGCTAAAAGTGAGAGCTTTATTAACTAGGATCAGACATTGCTAATTAGGTCAAAGGATAAAAGATGTTCAGTCTCACAGTGGCCTAAACAAGACAGAAAATGAAAGTTTATCTCTATCATGAGAGTCCGGAGTCCCACTGAGTAAGGGAAAGGTGAGGGTGAGCGCTTTGCTGCCCTTCCTGTGATATTCCCAAAGGACAGACGGGAGAAAGAGGAGACTCACACAATCCATTCTCCACCCCGCAGCTGCAGCCTGCGTACTCTTGGAAATATGTTATTCAGATCGTTATCCTGCTTCTCATCTTCCTGTGGCTTTCCATAACTGGCCAGAAGCCCTCCCACAACCCCCACTGCCCTGCCTGCCTCCACCACCTGCTCCTTGCTCATCGTACTCTGGCTGTAGCGCCTGCCTTCTTTCTGCAACTTGCACACACCAAGCTCTTCCTAAAGCTATGCCTATGCATGCACAATGTCCTCTGGCTGGAAGGCCCTATCTGCAGCTCCTTCTATGGCTTGTTCATCTCCGCCTTAGGCCTCAGTTCAAGTATCTACCACCTCCTCAGAGCACCCTTCCCTCAAGCCCTGGTGGGCAGTGGCTCTGCCACCTACATAGCCTCATACTCACTCCCTCTCTCATGTTCCTGATTATGTCCTTTTCTTTTAAGAGACAAGGTCCATTCTGTCATCTAGGCTAGAGTGCAGTGCATGATCATAGCTCAGTGCAGCCTTGAACTCCCGGGCTCAAACGATCCTCCCACCTCAGCCTCCTAAGTAGCTGGGACTACAGGTGTGTGCCACCACACCTGGCTAATTTTTAAATTTTTTGTAGAAATGGAGTCTCACTGTGTTGCCCAGGTTGGTCTCTAACTCCAGTCCTTAAGCGATCCTCCGACCTCAGCCTCCTAAAGTTTTGGAATTATAGGCATGAGCCACTGTGCCAGGTCCCTGATTGTGTCCTTGATAGGATTTACCACAATCTGAAGCCATCTCGTTTGTTTGCTTGCTGGCTCTTTTTAAGTGTATGACCTCCTTGAGTAAAGGAACCTTGTCTGTCATGCTCACTTCCATAGCCCCAGTGACCAAAAAGATGTCTGGGAAGGGTGTCACACATGCTCTGCAAATTTGTGACAGATGAACTGAACAGGAAAGAAGGATAAATTCATTCAAACTCCATCGAAGATGCTGTTCCATGTTCTGACTGAAGTCGGGTCTGAAGTCTGAGGTTTGTTGAAGGCTTTCAGTGACTTAGATGAATCTAGTATGGTAGTAAGGTTGGCGTGTTCCATAACAGATAAGCCATAAGCCAAGACGTTTACATCAACTCTTGTGTCCCAACTCCATCCCCAACACACCATGAGCTCCAATATGAAAAAAATACTTTTCCTAAGAGTGAGAGGTTTTGAGATTTCACATGCCTGAGTCATCTTCATGGCAGACCTGACTGGGGCTCATTTGCATTATGTGGAAATGATCTTTGGGGGTGTGAGGCTGTTGATAAAAGAAAGCCTTTAGCATCTGTGTCTTTTTAACAAGGCTGAAGCACCCGCTGGCTTTGTTCCATGTTGAACAGACATTTAGAGACATCTCTTTCTATTTATTTTATTTTATTTTATTTTTTCGAGATGGAGTCTTGCTCTGTCATCCAGGCTGCAGTGCAGAGGCACGATCTTGGCTCACTGTGACCTCCGCCTCCTGGGTCCAAGCGATTCTCCTGCCTCAGCCTCCCGAGTAGCTGGGATTGCAGGCACCCACCACCACGCCAGGCTAATTTTTTTTTATTTTTAGTAGAGACAGGGTTTCGCCATGTTGGTCAGGCTAGTCTCGAAAGTTTGACCTCAAGTCATCTACCCACCTCGGCCTCCCAAAGTGTTGGGATTACAGGTGTAAGCCACTGTGCCCAGCAGGAGACATCCCTTAATAAACCTGGTTTGACCAAAGAGTTATCTCTGGAGAGGTCTTTTTTTTTTTTTTTTTTTTTCCTGACAGCATTCTTTGGTGATCACAGAAGACCTCCAAGGCTGTTCGGGAAAGAGGGGCCAGCTGACTTGCTGGTGCTGGGAGAAATTAGCCCCCATCATCAAAAAGACTTTCTACTGCTTATTGTAAAATTTAAAAACTCTCGGGGAATACTGTGACCCTGACTTTAAAGCATGCATCTAAACAACCCAAATGTCAATTGATATAAATGAATAAACAAAATGTGATATATACATACAATGAAATATTATTAACCTTAAAAAGGAATGAAACTCAGACAGGTGCTACAACACGATGGAGTTTGCAGACATTATGCTGAGTGAGACAGGCCATACGCAAAAGGACCAATACTCCACGTATGTGAGATACTGACAATGGTCAAACTCATGGAGATAGAAAGTAGAATGGTGGTTAGCAGGGTGGAGGAGAGAGGAATGGGGAGTTATTGTTTAATAATAATATGAGCTATGAGGTTTCAGCTGGGGGTGATAAAAGGGTTCTGGAGCAGATAGAGGCAATGATTGCCCCAAGTGCCTCATAGGAGTGGAGTCATACACTATTTGTCTTTTTGTGACTGGCTTATTTCACTTAGCATGATGTCCTCAAGGTTTCTCTGTATTGTAGCATGCGTTAGAATTTCCTTCCTTTCTAAGGCTGTATAATATCTTGTGTGTATATGCCACATTTTATTTTTTCTATTCATCCATCAATGGGCTCCTGGGTTGCTTCCACATTTTGGCTATTGTAAATAAAGTTGTGATGAGCTTCACGTCCCTGCTTTCAGTTTTTTGGGTGTATGTACCCAGAAGCAGAATTGCTTGATCATATGGTAATTCTGTTTTTAGTTTTGTGTGGAAACTCCACACCATTTTCCACAGTGGCTGAATCATTTTACATTCCTACCAGCAGGGCTCAAGGCTCCCAGTTTCTCTGGGGTCCTCATCCTTGCCCACACTTGTTCTTTTCTTTTTTTTTTTTTTTTAAGTAGCCATCCTAGTGTATATGAAATGGTATCTCCTTGTAGTTTTGGTTCGCATTTCTCTAATGATTTAGTGATGTTGAGCATCTTCTTATGCACTCACTGGCCATTTGTATATCCTCTTTGGAGAAATGTCTATTCTGGTATAAAATGGTAAATTTTATGTTATATACATGTTACAACGATAAAAACAATCTGAATCTCTTTTTATTTTTTTTCCACTTTGTCTACTGTTACTACAGCAGTTTTCAGAAATCATACATGAATTGCTTTTTCATGTATGCTATCAATTTGTTTACTTGAGTATACAAGTTGGTCTCAAAACAATCTCAGCAAAAGGTGCATGTGTGTGTGTGTATGTTAGAGTATAGGAGGAGCTAGGTTACAACTGTGTGTAAGAAGAACAGGTAAAGCTGAGGTGTTAAAAACTGAGGTGGAGAAGAAGGCACCCAGCTGCTGGGCTGTTCTCTTTATTTCCTCCACATGTGGATTTTGGAGAAAATTGCGAATGTCCTATTTC